CCTCAAGGTGGAAACATATATCTGAACAGTGCCTTTTGCGACATTCTAGTAAAGATGAAACTTGGTGATGTAAAAATTTTCAGACGAAAAGCACTTTTCTTTATCCAAAATGCCTCATAGCAGCTCGAGAAGCAAGTAAAGCAACTTTCATCGCTCAGCCTCAAAGGCGCACAGATTCAATTCACATTGGAAAATTACACTACTCAGCATGAACAAGAAAATGGTCACAGCCGAAGTTGAAAAACTATTTTGCAATCAAAGACCTTACCTCATAAGCTCAATGTTAATGCTGCTTTCATCTTCTATTATCTAGAAATGAAGAGTGCATCTTTTCTTTTTTTTTTCAGAAGATGGCTTATTCAATGGGTCACCTTGTGTTATGGAATGGTCATTTTCTTACTTTTGTTTGTGACTGCGGCCGTGATCATACTTTCACTGATACCTGTATATCTTAACAAGCGCGATGTTCACATTGTGATGAGCACAAACAAGAGTTTGTTAACTTTCTCTTTCAGCTAAACAGAAGATCATGTTGTTTGCTGAGTCATTAGTGTAATAGGTCTAGAAAAAAAAAATAAGAGGACAGAAATAATGAGAAATTCTATTTTCCACTAACACATATAGTACAGTAATCCTGATTAGAACAGTGCAACATGAATCTTTTACGAAAAAGATTGCATTCAATGTAATTGCAAGTATAGAGCTTGCTTAAAGGAAATTTTGATTGTTTCAAACTCATTTTCTCATTTTGTCGTTCAGAGATACGGAATGATTAAGAAAAAAGATTATTTTGTGGAACTCACATATATATTGGAAGAAAATAGTGAGTGTAAGTTCTATGTTCGAGTTTTTGCGGCTCCCCCCTCCCATTACAGACCTTAACAATTGACAATAATAGGCGTCAGATTTTCAAGTTTTTTGTTGTTGAAATTAATCAAGTTATAATTTTGAAAAATAATGAACATTATTATTTGTAAGTTGGTCAATATATATGATAGTGTGTCAAATCTGCTGTAGGCATGATGAATATGTAAAACAGACTCATGTGTCAATTATTTCAATGATCATAATAATAAGAATGTTAAATTAAGAAAAACGAATTTAAAAAAAAAGAAAAATAATGAACGTATAGCAACAATGAACACAAAAAATAGGGCGCTCGTAAAATGAAATAAAAAAATTGTCTTCGAAATGCAGAAATTAGAGAGGTTCTTATTTCAGTGATTGATTCTCGTGCAAAACAATTATAGTCTACCAGAGATTTTTCACTTCACGTTTTTTATATTAGTTTAATGAACATAGAGAGTATATGTAACTACCACATTTCAGCCCCAAAGTGGCTGTGCTAACAAGCTTTTTCATCCAAATTACTATAATCATAATTTTTTAATACTATCTTGAGACAGACAAAATTTCTTATTTTGGAAACTGAACATTATGTATCATTCGAATTTCCCAGTTCTCTATAATTTTTTAACAACGACCAAGCCAAAACTAACAACTATCATCAATCTATCCCTCTGGATCCTGTATAAAAAAAAAACGGTGCTGCTCGCCATCCGAAATCTCTGATGTCTGGGACATCTATTTAAGTAATATTTAAGGAATGATAAGACCCTACTCTATAAGGCCTCCGAGTCAGTGATTGACTCTTCATTCTATGCATCTTTTTCATCCAGGATTCGATGAACAGACGCCTGGTTGGTATCCATATAGATATATTCGGCAATCTTAATAATGACTCACCTAGCTTAGAGCAGTAGTTATCTCATCACTGAGTCTAAACCGTTTGAAATTTACACCGTATACAAAAAACTGAAGCTCTAATGATTTCTAGACCAAAATATTACCGATTTGAAAGAAATAGAACGAGATTAAGACACTTTTGGAATTTTCCCATGAAAACATGGTAAAATCAGTCAATGTTTAGTATGTATGCCATTCGTCAACTTTCTTGGAATCGAATAAAAAGTTTGATTATATTTTCTTATAGTGCAAAAAACGTAAACTTATTTCACGTAAGATAGGTAACGTTTTTTGAATTCTATGGAGAGAATCTGCTGGATTCTCTATACTTTGGTTGAAACAAAAATGCCAAAAGTAAATATAACGAAAGCTAGATATGTCGAATGATAAATATTTCGAAAGGAAAAATATCGAGAGGTAAATATGTCGAAAAATTTAGAAGTTGAAAGTTAGAGTGTGGGTATGGGCGTGGAACAAGAGAAGAATCACACCCATCTTCCACATCCTCATTGAAGTATTTGGCAACTGATCAACTTCATGAAAGCTGAAGAGAAATGCTTGCAAAACATACGCCTCCGATGGATATTGTTAGGATCCTTGATATCTTTTATTAATATAGTATAACAAGAACCTAAATCTTTTACAAAAAGAAAGAGAACAAAACAAACAAATAATAACAATAATAAAGAATCGACCTTAAATCACCATATCGAGATAAATCACCACACTCGATAGAAAAAATACAACAACTAACTGACTGGGAGAGAGAGAGAGAAGAGAAAGAAGAAGAACAAGAAGAAGGAGGATCGTCCATCTATACAACATATATAGATGGCAGATTCGAACAGATATGGGTGTGAGTTAACGTCTTCTCTTCACACATTCACACTCACCCGAAGAAATGCATCATATGATGGTTTTGTTTCTACTGATATATTGTAGACATACTCATACCCTTACTTTGATAGCTTCAACATGTAGCGATCGTGTTATAAACTTGTCAGTGCAATTCCGTGCCAGGTCCAAGTGTAGAACTTACAAACTTTGACTGTTATCAAATTATGGCATATTGTCAGAGAGGTTTGAATAGTATATTTGAAAAATGTCAAATAAACGAATGAATTAAAACTATAAGAATTTTTATAGTTGATACGCACGCACCCTGTGAGAATTTCTCATTTTGAAAATATTTGCAATTAGAATTATTATTCTATCAATTTATTAGATTCATTTAACATCTTTATACTGAAAAGACTTTTTTGTTGTACTGTCAGATACATCTTCAATACAATATTTCTTTTTTTCCAATAATATATATGAGCGAGGAGCACGACCATTGTATCGTTGTATTCGAAACAGAAAAGTGCCTATAAGTCGAGTTCTACTCAAGCGATTTTTATGGAATTTGTTTTTGTTTTACTGGCCTGAATATGTCCATTCACTTCTATAAAAATCAAGTTTCCACCTGTTTTAGTGTTCGAGAACTCATAGCGACAGGTTCAATTGCTTCTGACACCACCTGTTGTAAATTAATCAATATCGTTTTTATTCCATTGCGATGTTTTTAAACGATCTTTTCAGCTAGAGTTGTAGAAATTTCCAAGATCTTTCAGAATATGTCTTTGGTTCCTACTTTAGACAAAGTTTCATGAATGAAAAACTGTGGATAGTATTCGTCAATACAAAAATTTTACATAAAGTGAAAACAATGAATTTCTATCTGAATGTAGAGCAACTTTTTGAATTTTGTTATTCCTATGACTTAATGAGAACTAAATAGTTTGCCACAAAATTTGATCGATTTTTCAGTCCATCTAGTAGAGGAATATTCCAAAAAATCAACCTCAAACCTTTCTCCATGCAAGAGAAAATTTTGTTTTACTAGCCACGTATGAAGCGACATTTTTGTGATAAAAAGTGTAGGAAGGCATTGAAATCATTGACATTGCATGTGAGAAAATTTCATTTGAACAAATTTCGTTAGATATGAAAGAGAAATGAGGGAAATCATTTTAGAAATAAAAGAGATTTGTTCTATAAACTTCCTTAAAGCAACAAATTCAAACACAATTTTAATGATATTCATGGTGCCAATAGAGCGACTATTTAAATTTTGTTATTGCTATAAGCGATTGAAAACTGAACCATTTGCCACAAAAATTTTATCATTTTTCCAATTCATATCGTAGAGTAATATCCCAAAAAAAATCGAACAAAAATCTTTCTTCGTTCGGAAGACAATTTTGTTTTACTAGCAAAGTGTAGAGCGACATTTTTTTAAAAGTATTCACACATAAAGACTGATTGATATCTGAGAATAGCATACAGAAATCAGCTTCGACACAAAGAAGTGTTGGGAAAATATTATTTTCATAGACAATCGACATCACTCTACCAAATGCAAGACTGTGTTGTCTCTTATTATTAAGTTTATTTTTATCGATTTTTTTGCGCGAACGGTACAATGGGTGTGTTCTTCACTCATGTATACTATATAATAGTTGTCATAGAAAGCGGCAAATATTCATTTTATTCTACGTTTCATCAGTTCAACCACTGCATTAGCCTGCTATTCACATTGATTTAATCGTTCAGTAAGCTTTCGAGCACATCATCCTGTTCCTGAACGCACTTTGACATATACTGTTGAGTTATGCCTAAACTTAGCATTCAATTAGTTCATCATTTTCTATATCCGTTCGATTCTGATTCTGCTAAATAAATAATATCACCATCCTACTGATTGACACCTACAATAAGATCCTTTCACTGCATTAAATACAAAAATCCGCAATATTTAGGCTAGTTAGAATGCACAGCAGAAATATTAGATTTATAGAATGATTCGAAAGATTCTAGAAAGTTCCAAAATGATCTAAATACTGTTATTACTGACATGTCTTTTCCTGTTGCTATGAAAACGTAACCAATGATCTTTGGCTTGCCGGCTCCCATGCCCGGTTGCTCGAGCCTAAAAATAAGGGGAAAGAAGAAGGCGAAAAACCTCGATTTGAACTTAGACTCACTATTTTCTTCGAAAATATATGTGAGTTCTACAGAGTGAAGACAAGACTGATATCGACTGAGGAGTTTTATGCGTAGGAAATCAAAAGTATCGAGACGAAGAGTTGTGTAGCCAATCATCGAATTGTGTTAGTTTCGTATGCTCGAGTGGTAGATGTGTTTGCAGATATTCTGCTGTGACAGAAAAAACTTCAATATTCCTGTTGTTCTTACAGCTTCGGCATGCAGCAATGGGTATCGCTGTGGGTATGAATGTTGGTTGAAGGTGCCGGTGTGTGTTTCTTCGATCACACAACACATCCGCAACAATATCAACATCACGATGTTTAAAGAAATTTTTGCGCCTTTTTTGTATTTCGGATATCAACATGACAGCACCCACCAATACTATTACATGTGCTTTATGATAGGAACATCCTTCCAAACTAGTATCATGCAAAAATTATGTCTTGATGATTCTATCGCTCTTTTAAATGCGAATGAATTGTTCTGCAGAATTTTAGAGTTCTGATGTGTGATTAATTTTAGGTCCAACAACAACAACAACAACTACAACAACTACAACAACAACAACAACAACTACAACTACAACTACAACTACAACAACAACAACAACAACAACAACAACAACAACTACAACTACAACTACAACTACAACAACAACAACAACAACAACTACAACTACAACTACAACTACAACAACAACAACAACAACAACAACTACTACAACTACAACAACAACAACAACTACAACAACAACAACAACAACTACAACTACAACAACAACAACAACTACAACTACAACAACAACAACAACTACAACTACAACAACAACTACAACGACTACAACAACAACAACAACAACAACTACTACTACTACTACAGGTCTGCATATCTTTTCAAACTCTTTCGAATTGAGCATGTGAATGAATATTTGATATACAGTGGGTAACAAAATTATTCAACCAGTAGGTGAAGAGTTTTTGTTTTATCAATATTTCAATAACTAAATGACATAGAGAGATTTTCTTTTCACTATTTTGTTGTTCATAGTCTATAGTATGTATATACAAAATTTCAAAGAAAAATTTCAATGAGTTCGATTTTTATTAAAAAAACAACAAACATACATGATTTTTTTTCGTTCCAAAATTATTCAACCAATAAAAAAAGACATATATTTTTCAGTATAAAGACCCAAATTTTACAAAATTAATATCGTGTTGGATGTCCTTTCATACGTAAGCATTCGTAGAGACGACTTGGAACTGATTCCACCAACTTATTCGTAATATTTTGACCAATACCTTCCCATTCAGCTTGCAATATGTCTCGAAGTTCATTTTCATTTTTTGGTTGATGCTTTTTCATTCGACGTTCAAGTTCATCCCAAAGATGTTCAATAGGATTCATGTCCGGTGAAAATGGAGGCCAAATTAGACGTTTAATGCCTTGGTTGTCAAGCCAATTTTTTACAATACGAGCCGTATGTTTAGGATCATTATCGTGTTGGAAAAGCATTTCGTTTCCCAAATTTAATTTTGTTGCAGATTGAATCAAATTATCTTTCAAAATGTCTTTATACATTTCTCCAGTCATGTTACCGTTGATAAAAACCAAATTCCCAACACCATTCCAAGCAAAACATCCCCAAACTTTAACATTTCCACCTCCATGTTTAACTGTTGGAACAGTACATACTGGATCATATTCTTCTTTGGGTGATCGCCATACAATAACCTTTCCATCCGATCCAAAGAGGTTAAATTTCGATTCATCCGACCATAAAACATGTTTCCAGAAGTTCATATCCTTGTCACGATACATTTTGACGTACTTTAAACGTTTGGCTCTACTCGCCTTGTTAACGTAAGGTTTTTTACGAGCTGTACGACCGTATAAGCCAACTTCATGCAGGCGACGGCGAACTGTTTGACTGGATATGATTACACCAAGTTCTTTTTCAATTTCTAGACGTACAGATGATGCTGATTTTCGACGATCTTGTTTAATTTTCCGTTGAATGGATTGATCGACACGTGAGGTTGTCTTTCGTTTTCGACCACGACCGAAAATATTTCCAATACATTTTGTTTTCTTGTACTTAGCGATGATGGAATGAATTGTATTTCTTGAACAAATAAGATCTTTTGCTATGTCATATTCTGAATCGCCATTCTGAAAGCGTTTAATAACAAGTTCTCGAAATTCAAGAGAATGTTCTTTTGTTTTAGGAGCCATGAGTGTTAATCAGGTAAAAAATTTTCAGAATGTGTTTATATTGGATAAATGTGCCACTTATATAGAGGATAAGATGTAAATAGACTAATTGAGATGGAAAAACAAAGAGATAATATGTATAGGCCGACTATTTCCTTTTTATCTGTCCTGGTTGAATAATTTTGGAACGAAAAAAAATCATGTATGTTTGTTGTTTTTTTAATAAAAATCGAACTCATTGAAATTTTTCTTTCAAATTTTGTATATACATACTATAGACTATGAACAACAAAATAGTGAAAAGGAAATCACTCTATGTCATTTAGTTATTGAAATATTGATAAAACAAAAACTGTTCACCTACTGGTTGAATAATTTTGTTACCCACTGTATATATGTTTTAGTCGATATATTTATCGATGGAGTATACGATGAGTGCCAAATTTTCTGTCTAGTTATTACATATTTCTTAACCTCTTATATGAATTTTTCATGCTCTGAAAAATTTTTTCTTCAACACGTCTCTGACTTTTCTCTGAGTCTCTATCAACAACTTAAAGCTACTACTAAAGATTCCTAGTGGTACTATCGATTGAACGTCAATATTTTCTAACTTTTCATTCTTGAAATCATTGCTACATAAAACGGCAATTTTTCTTGCGTGCATCTAGAAAACAAAGTAATGAGAAGTCATGATGAATCATTTTGAGATTGTCTCACATCTCAATGAAATTAGTACGACAATTTCTCCGTCGCTATCTTTAAAACAATCGATTTTAACATAATAATCTTTATTAAAAATATGTGGATATTCTTCAATAAACTTCTCTAATTAGTGGATTTCTCTACTCCTACTTTTCTACTAATGTCAAGATAATGTTGAAACTTTCTGTCTATTGAGGGTGTGGATGTGAATGTTGCTGTTTCCTTAACTGGCACCCACATCCCATCTATAGATACACAAGTATCTATCAAACTTGACCGGAAAAAAATTGCGCATTCTTGACATTTTTTCAGCTCTTTTTTTTCATTTCTTTTTCGTTTCTCTATAATTCACTCTTATTCTTTTCTTTGTATCAGTTAATTTTATCGTTCCATACATGCATGTATACTGACAGTAGTGTCACAGTCAATATTAAACATGAATCCATCGAATGTTCATCTCGATTTACCTAATGAGATGTTACTTCGAATTATCTAGAAACTTGACAATGTTGATGTTCTTTATTAGTTATTTGGTATCGATAATGAACGGCTTGATATTATAGCACGAGAGGAGACTTTTTCTAATACTCTCCATTTTTCATCAACTATTCGTAACACTACAATGATTGATTCAATGCTATATCAGTTTTGCAATTAAATATTACCATGAATTTGTTACAATATGTGAAATGCCTTATTTCATTAGTAAGCAAATGTTCTAGATTTCATCAAGTGAAAAGTCAGAGTACAACGATATTGAATAGAACAGATTATAGCATGTTTTATTACATTTGTTTCAATTTAGATGGCTCATCCCGTCGATATATCTTCAAAGAGCAAATTATAAAACTTCATCATGCCAATAAAGATCGTGAGCGTGCAGTAGGATCATTGAAAGACTATAGAAAAAAGAGTGTATAGACATATTTTGAATTTTTTTTTGAAAATCTAAAACATTTGAATGTGATTGAAACATTGATTCCTAGATATCCAGGCTTGTCCATTTGTGATTTACCATCAAGTACTTTTCTCCTTCAACGCCTTACGTATTTATGTATTAAGGTGGTAACTTGGACTGATTTTCTTTGTTTACTTGATGATCGCCTTAAACATTTGAATATACTTATCGTTGAAATTTATCTTATGAATACAAATTGATCTATTGACCCTAATTTGGTTACCGCTTTAAAACCTACGAAAACACTTAAAAAGCTTGTGGGCTTATCCCCATCAAAATTGCAATGTGAAATTCATGTATGACTTATAGTGTAATTCTAGTAATACACAATGGCTAAAATTGTTAATCTGTCTTCCATGTGATACGTTTCTCCAGATAATAGTTCAAGTATGAAATTTAATACTTCCCATAGTATTAACATGCTTATTATTATAGTCAAATATACTATGAATAACCAACTAGTCTTTTTAATTATATCTAGTGTGATAAGCCATATAACTATTTAAAACTAAAACTTTTAGAAGTTATCATAATAAAATTAACATGCTCTTTTGCTTCTTAAATGAAGTGCTTATATTCATCGAAACAGATTCAAATAGGTTTTATATATACGTATATATAAAGAGCATAGTAATAGTAAAAAGCCCATATCTGCATTAAGTTCTATCTCGTTTTGGTATATTTTCATAAAATATATAGTCAAACGCCTTGAGTATAAACAACTGTAAATCACCGCGATGAATCATTCAGACTTTGCGGTGGCCGATGTGTTAAAATCAGGAAAATCGGTAGGACCATATTCAAGAAAAAATTAAAATTCTGTGAAACTTTTGCTGATATTATTATCTAAAACTGAAGCCGAATAAAGACAGATGAAGTACACAGTAGGTCGATTAAGATTAAAGGGTAGATCGCTTTGATAAATGACAAAACTAGTTGAGTGCGAATAAATTCTACAAGTTGATCTTTTCTTTAGATACGCATGCTACTACTGGTTTTTCTGACTTCACGTACCTCTTCATCTATAAAACTATCACAATGTTATAAACATTTATTTCTGAAAAATGTACCCAATCGATTAGACCTTTCTTAATTGCCTCAAAAATACCCATAGAATTTCTTCACGATGGCTTACAAAAGATACAAGGTTTAATTCATTCCAAGTTGCTGTATGTAATACAGAGGATCTTAGTTATGTTAATAGTGGCTATGATGCACTATAAAAAAACATTTTACTTGTTCGAAGCATATTCAGGGTATGAAGAATGCATTCAATAACAAATATGACCTTGAAATATTAAGCTTTTGTATGTCGACCAATGATACGCACAGGCGATGAAAATGATAGAGCACACTTAAAGACCGTCCATCATACAAAGAAGAACGGGTACGGTCGTTTCAAGTTCGCGAGGTCCTTATACACCTCTAGTATCTACTTTTGGAAAAAACATTGAATATCTCCATCACGCCTCTAAGAAATCAGCTCATTTTTTTCGACTGTTATAGGCATGTTCAAGCTTTATATCCATAAAGACATGTCAAGAGAGGCTCTTTGTGAAATATCAATGTCTGAAAACAATATAATTTCTTAGTTTTTCGAGAAAATTTTAATATATTTTAGATTGGAATTTTCTATTTGCCATAGGTTGACAAATAAAATTTTAAAATAAAAATGTCTCGAAAGTCATTTTTCTTTAAAATTGTATTGAAAATAGTCTATCAAGATTTTTCAATAGCTTCGCAAAAGCAGACTTTGTTTAGCAAAAGAACACAGAATAATCGTATAAAATTGATGTAGTTTTATAGAAATGTATTATAAAAAAATATCAAGATAATACCATAATTTTCAATCAAGCATAGGAAAATTTGATGACTTTAAAAAAAAATCAAGCAGCAGTAGTAAGATTAAATCTTTCTTGTTAATAATGAAAAGTTTTTCCTAGATGACTCAAAAGAATAATTATAGAAACCAAACTACTAATACTATTTAATTGAATTAACTCAGAAGTAAATTACATATGGAAGCATTTTATAACCGAAGAAAACTATATGTTAGTAACAATATCTATGAAACTCTTTTAGTTAAAATGAAAAGTAAATTGTACTTCCTTAATTTTAGGGTTTTTTTAATTTTTTGTCTTTTGTTTCCGATAATGAAGTCTAAAGATAATTGATTTTAATTAAATGTAAATTCTTTGCTATTGGCCGCATTTAAGCACAACTGAGTTTTGTGTCTTAGTGATTTACACATAGTTGTGCTTTAATACAAACACAATACAACAGTATGTTTAAACATAGTCACACATTGCTATAACTGAGGTTTACTATCTTTTAGTGTCTGTAATGCCATCATCTATTGATTGGTTTAACTGGCGATAGGGGATAGATGACGAGTCAGAAAACCCAATACTAAAAACTTATACTCATTACTTTCTACGAAAGTCTATGTAAGTGTCACAAAAAGGTGTGTGAAAGTTCTTTCATATTCTTTAAGCTTCTTTGAGAGTTAGTCATCATCGGCAAGATTCGAAATGAGTGTTTTGATTTATGTAGTGTAATAGATGAATAATTGAACACTAATCTAATAACGAAATCCAAATGATAGTAATGAACACATATGAAAGTTACTGATTCTTCATTGTTACTTTTTTAAATGAATATTTTATGATAAACATCTATAATTTTATTTGAAATCAAACCGACAGATGTTGGTTAGTCAGACAAAAACGAAAAACAAAGATTTCCTTATCGCATTCGTTAGTTAATACAATGCTTGAATTGAATTATATTTTGATGAAATCAAGTTGTTTCTCAAAAAACCAATCTCGTAATATAGGGAAAATATGTTCCACGGTATCGGCTCCTTTTCTTCCGACAACATTCTTTTCAAAAACCATCAGATGAAAGAGCAGGACAAATTCAAATGAAATCTTTCAATAGAACACGAACCATACAAAACCTAAAGAATTAATAGATATTGTATTATCTCTTTCAATCATATCATCCCTGTTCTTTTAATACATTTCGAAAGAATGTCATCATCAAACTTGATATGTCACTAATAATATCGCAAGTCTATCTAGAAATTTAATTTTTCTCTTTTCGTAATAAATTATACTGAAAATAAAATCACTTATGCAATTTAAACAAATAAGTTTATAACCTAACCATAACAGTACCTTAAAGAGAAATTCTTATCAATAAAAAGAATTAAAGGACAGGATGTGGGTGTTGGTTATCTCTTAGTCTACACCCACACTCCAAAAAGATGAAAAAATTCATGTTTGATTTTACTTAAGCAATAAATCTGGCATATTGTTCTAAACAAGCTAGAAATCATTCTTTCAAGTCTTTTATGAATAAATATAATTACGAAACATAGTCTGTACAAAGCTAGACACTTAAATTTAACTGTGGACAAGTCCAATAATGCAGTTTGAAATTCAAAAATTGATTGGATTTGAAATCTTAGATATCAATCTTAATTTGCCTCTGTAATAACGTACGATCGCAATGTCATTCTATCAGACTTGGAGTATAGTCCAATAGATGGTTTACGTATTGCTCGTGTAACACTTGAAAATAAACTCATATGGAATCATATTTACGATTTACCTTCTCTATCATCTATTCTTATCGTTCATAATAGATTCGGATCAATTTGGTTTTCTCAATTTTCACAAACTATCAACTCTTCCCATTTAATCAGTGTTTACGCGATAAATGGAACTGTTTGCCACAATTTTACTGTATCAAATTATATAAAATTTCAAGTAGATTTACAATCTACACGTTTTTGTGCTGTATCTTATGATTATTTGTGGTACATACTTAATTTTACATTATATTGTTTTAATACTTCATTATTCAATAAAAAATTATTATAAATAACAAATTTGACTATGGGAGAGAAAGTTAGTACATATGCATTCCTTTCATTAATTCTTTTATAGATATTGGTTTGTGTGATGGGAAACTAGTCTATCAAGATTGTTTATATATGAGCGAGCATTGATTGTCAATGGGTGATCCTCAATCATCGGCCAACGACGGTGGCATTGTGTATCGATCAGGACGAACATAACTGGCATTCAATCGAGAAAATGATAGACTGAGGTTTTTAAGAATCCGATCAGCTATACACGATCAACGTATTGACAGTGCTATTGGTGACACTAGTATTATTAATATAAATTATCCTGATCAGAGATTAACGTCTTAAGTGAAGTTGCCCTGTCATTGAAAAGTTTTTCAAAGAAATTGGTATATCGACAAGTTTTATCAGTGTGGAACAGTGACAAGAGTCAATTATTATGAAATGTTACTGTGCCAAATGCTAATTTCTATGTCAGTTATCCGGTAACTATTACCGTTCGTATAAGCAATTATTTACATTTGACTACAGGAGATAGTTTTCTTATTGGTCGTCTACCATCATCGAATGAACCAGTTTGATAGTTCAATACATCTTAGTGTTGCGAATGAAACTTTGTTCGTTTTAGTTGTATACTATGAACATCAAGAAATATAGAAAATCTCATTACGTATAACTTATTCATTAGGTGTGGGTGTAGATAAGGATGTTGATGTGGATTTAGAGAAGAGTCCGTACATCCAAACCCCACAATTAATCATAGATTCATTTTTCATCATAAAGAAAAAAAAACCTGCAAATTAAAATACAAAAATAAACGAACGACTAATAATCATGAATTCTTATTAAACAAGATTTATATTAATATCAGTCTTTTATTTATTAGGAATTTTCGTTTAAATATTTATAAAGATTATTTCTCAACAAGCCAATGTATTTTTAATTATCCTGAAGGATATGAAAAATCTATAGATCTTTTTGATTGCGATATTAAAGTTTAATTTGCTAAAGCAACTATTATTTTTCTATTTAAACACATCAATGCAATTTTGGTAAGAGAGCTTAAACGAGAATAATTTTTTGTAGATAAATGCATTTTCTTAAAAATCTATTTCAAAGAATTTTCTTGATTCATTAAAACAGCCTAAAGTAGTTGTTTCACTTGAATGCGTTGAATTAAATATATTAATCAATTATTCACTTGATCTAGATAAAGTTAAAACAGATCAATGTTGTTGATCAAGTAGACACTTTAATTTAAGGACTTTTTCATTATGGGAACTTTCTTTTCTATAAGAGACTATGAAGTATTTTATTGGTGAAAATGATCGTATAAAATTATTAGTTTGATGAAGTGAGGAAAACAATGAATTATTAATAAAAGCACCTTTAAGAAAATTAGCTGTTTTATCATTATTACAAGCGGATCTTGAATAAATAATATATTAAGAAGTTTTTCAAAAAGTACTTCATTACGGAATTTCATGAAGAGAAAATTGTTTTCGAAAGCAAGAATCTTTTAACTTCATAAAATCAAAACCAAGCAATATTTATGCATTTATGGGAAGACTCGACTCTCGTGAGAGGGTGTGGGTGTGGGTGTGGGGCGTGTGAGCGAATCAAGAGATTAAGTGCACCCACACCCATACCCACACCCTTCTACAACAAGATATTTTGGTGGAAATAAACCTACAGGCATGATTTCTTGATATGTCTAGTTTTTTAAAAATTTCTTCAGAATTCAAAATGACTTTCTAGAGGTCTTTAATAAAAAGATTAATGCATCAGTGCAACAAAGAATTTGAAGTGCTAGTCGTTACAAAACAGAACTTTCATTGATCAAATATTTACTATCATACATGATTTTTTTTGTTTGTTTGATTAGGGTAATACACCTAGGTGAATTTGAAATTCGTTTATAAATGAAAACTTAATTAAATATTTAGTTTCATGTGTGATTGCGGAGATTCAGGTTGGTTTGGTGAATTTTGTCATATGACTAAATGTAAAAAGAAAATTTTACAAATTCTATTCTATATTGAAAACAAAACTTTTACTTATTATAGATCCTTGTCCAGCTGATCGCTGTAAGTTTTTTTGAATGATTTATGAAAAATATATTGACAATGCTCAGAATCTCAAAAAAAAAGTAGTGCTAGAGGTACTTTAATTCGTTATAAAAGTCTACTCATGTTTTAATTTTGTTCGTTTTGCAAAATTCAACAGTAACGTCAAGTCATATATGTCTTCGATGTGAATATCGAAGTACATAAGCAATGGTTCCAAAAAAAACAATCCAAAAAATCATGTCTGAGTTGGTAGTTTTGTCAAAACGCATGAACAATAGATATGATTTGATGTTATCGTCACATATCATATCAAATAGTTCTTAGAGTTTGTTTAGGTTTTTTTTTATAAGGAATTAAAGTATCTTCGTCACATCGTTCGATATGTTGCAAACCATTTTTTAAGGTATGAATAACGGGCAATGTAAAGCAATCGGACGAGAAAATTTTACATGTAATTGTATAAAAACCGGTTATCAAGGAGCATTTTGTGGTATAAATTTCTGTGATATTTATTATTGATTAATAAAAATTTTTTAAAAATAAAGAACAAGGTTGTTACGATACCGATGATCCATGTCAAAATGGTGGATCATGTATAGATAATCAATGTTGGTGTAGTTCATCAACCAAAGGTGATTTCTGTGAAATAGTCGACAATAAATATTCAGCTAATAGTCAAATACATAAAGAAAATAGTCCTTTAAAAATATGGTTAATTATTGTTTTATGTACTGTTAGTATTATAATTATTGTTGGTTTAATATATAGTCGTAAAAAACTATTTAAAACACGAGAACAACGAAGAAATTCAATTGACTATGCATTTAATCATAAATCAAATGAAAAACAAAGTAATGAAAATCTTGAAAGTGATTCTGTTAGTCTAGCATTAAGTCAAGCTTCACAAAATACAAAATTTATTCAAGAATAATTATTTATTAATAATGCAAAAATAAATAATCAAATTAGTTCTGTTAAATTTAAATGATATACAATTTAATGATAAATAAATTGTACTGATGTTTGATGATGATTGAATTTGAACATAATTTCACTGTGGACCTTGATTTGTAACAGTTGATAATACTTCCACATTAATTACAAGTTGTTCATCTGACATTTGATGACGAGTATCAAGAATTCCAGAACGTTGTAAATAAAAATGTGACATCATGTGCATAACTTTACCTTTATCACAATTAAATTTAATGAGAACAGTATCTGATTGATATTTTTTTTCTTAAAATTTCGGATCGAAATAGCACACATACTGCACTTGTATTGGTAATTTCGATAGGATGTGAATTACTTTCTAACCACCAAAAGTTATATGTTTGATATTTAAACTATCGAGTACACAATTGATATGATCATATATACCTAGCACGATAATTATAGCATCAGAAGGCATATTTTGAATAGCTTTATATTTATATTGTATTAGAAAATCAGATAGACCTTTATGTCGATAAGTACGACCATGTTCGGAATTTGTTAATTGGTTACATACTGTACTATCATATTTACATCGACTTGTGTGATGTGATGTATGAGTAAATTGACGGGCATGTCTACTTTTTCTATTGCAGTTTCAACAAAGTTCTGACCAACGACAAGAATATAATTAATTTTCATCATGTTTTGTTCAGTTTCCGTATTGTAAAAGGCAACCATGACCATCTTTACAAATCTTTAATTGCTTATAATAAATACATAAAGAATACAGTTAAATGTACTACAGCTATTATATCAATAAATGGTTGAGTTTTTAAAGCACATTGAATGCATCATTATTGGGATATTCTTCAGTCTCATCAAGCTAATATAAAATAGTTCTATTATTTTCTTGTTTTCTCCTCACAGACACTAAATTAAAACTAGCCATGTTTCCTGCGAATAAAATCATGATGGTAAGAAAAGAATATTGAAATTTTCCTTCATAAAAAAAAATAGACTTCTATTATTACGATTGATTAATCAGTAGGTGTTACTCGAAAATAGTTGTCTACAATTAATTTCTCTTTTTCAGCCGATACAAATGAAATCTAAACAGTCATTTTAAGCTTTATAGCATATCAAAAACAAGGATACAAGAGTCACTAATGCTCGAGTATGAATATATGCTCAAGCTTCTAGAAAGAAGATATTGTCGAAATTTCTATCACCTTAAATCAATAGTTATTAGACATATTGAAAATTTCAAAGACTTTAGAAATTTGGGTAATTGGTTTTCCTTAAAATCTGAACATTTTCTCTACTTGAGAAAAGTGCGTCTTTTTTTTCCTAAACAAAATTAATTTAGAAGTAAGTCGCGATTTGATTTATTTCCATAAATACAAAGAGGAGTATCTGTTACAAGTTGTAAATGAGATTAGAAGATAAATAGATTATTTTTGCTTGTTTAAATTTGAGAATAAAAATAATTGAATCAATTAAAAAGTTGTCATTCCAAATCTTCTCATGAGTCATAGACAATTCATAGAGTATGATTCATTTATTCTTTTTTTACTTGTTTGTTTTTTGTCTTTTGTTGGTTTTCCTCAGGTATTTTTGATAACCCAAAGAAATAAGTATGTCTTATTAAAATATGAATTTATAGAGTGTTTGATTTTCGATTGAACAATGTTATCTGAATTCAGTTTAATGGAGTGTCTATTATGAATTTCAAATTCTACAATAAGAGGAAAAATCTGTCTGTTTTTCGTTTTTCGAGAAAAAAACGTCTATGCATGAAAATTTTAAAAATGATTCTTCATTCCTTTTAATTACATCACTGTCCGACAGAAGGCTTCCATTGCTTGACTTTTCATTTCAAAGTTTTTTTTTGGATCGAATTCTTTATCGCTGTTTAGATAGAATTCTAATTCTTGATTTGGATTAGATTTTTCTTTGTAGTAGATTGCTTGTTGTTCCGAACTGAGTAGACGAGCATTCGAAGGTGTATCAGCATTACTGTACTTGCTATATTCAATTGTAATTGTAATTACACATTCTGTATTCTTTTCTTTTACGATATTTGTTTACCAACAACGAAAGCGATTACAATAATTTTCCTTCACCTCTGGAACAGCTAGATGTTCTTCTCCATAGTCTATATTTCGATTCGAATCGTTATCTTGATAAGTTATTGTCGTATTACGAACAATAGAAGAAACTTGATTATCTTTTGTACAACAGAAGCAACATAGATCACGAATTTTACGACAACAACTGAGTACACTTTCACAACAATTTTTGTTGTCATCATAGATAGTAATAATCTGTGATTTGACATCAGCTTGAATACCTTTGCTAATTTCTGATTTAGCGCTAATTAATAATACATCTTCAATGGGGACCATTATCAATTCTATTTCAGCAGTTACTTTTCTTCTTCTTTCAATTGTTTTGGACCTTGAAAAGCTTGTTATTGATTCCTGTTATCGACGACGATGTTACGTTTATCTTGAGCAGCTTTAGCTTTGTATTGTGAGTGGCGATAGAGATGAATAGCAAGCATTGGGCAAGTGTATTTGTTGTCCGATGTGCGAACGCATAATGAAAAACAAAAAGCAGGTGAGACAACATCGAGGTTAGAATTCAACATAAGAACTCATTACCACCGAACTAAAAGTGTGAAGATGAGACTACTCCAGAGATATAGACTATGCCACTCACGCTACTTTACGGCATTCCGTAATCATGTTTTAGGTTTAGGAACGGAATACATTATCTTTGACTTGAGACGATAGAAAAATTTATTTTACTGATTACGATTAAACAAACCAAGGCATGACGGCTACCTTTATTTACAAAAACTCATTAAATAAAAAAAAAGAAATCTTATTTTCTTGAACAACTGATTAAACTAGGGAAAGTTCAAGACGAACTGCATTTCTCTTCGGAAAAAGACAAATTGTTATGTCTGACAATTTTCTTCAATCTTTCCTTATTTTCTTTCTTTTTCAACAAATTTTCGTAAAGTTAGAGTAGTTCTACAAAATAGATACCGAGAAACTGTTCTTACCTGGATAAATATCTATATAGCCATAGGGTTTCAGTTTTTCTTCCACAGCTTTTGTACATGTATTTTAGTATTAATTTGCTGCTGCACTTGATGTTTCTTTTTACAAAATCCACAGCAACCTTTACAGCAAGACATTTTCTTCGTGTCAATTAGAATCAAAATTAAGATGAGAACAGCTATAAAATGAAGAGAGAGAAAAAGATTTACATTTAACTATTTTCGAGAGAAATCAACAAAGTCATAGATAAATCATCTTTCAGCTTATTGTGTTCTTGATGTTCAGCTCGTACTTGATGAGCATCGGCTTCTTGAAAGAATATACAGAGACACAAAATAATAATTTAGAAGGGATCGGTATACTTTTAAAAAAATGATGAAAGGTGTAATGAACTGATAGACTTTCTTGGAATGATGCAATTCTTTTTTCATGTTTATTCTCGCTTTCTTTCTGCCTTCGTAAAGAGAGAAATCTCACTGGGTTTTCTTTCATGGAAACTATTAATTAATACGATAAATTTTCTTTCTCCTGAAATGTTCCGACTCGTAAATAGAGAAAGCAAGAATAGTTCATGAAATTGATGATATCAAGAAGAAAATGTTCTATGTAACTAATTTTGTTTGATTGATACACACTATGGTTACATTTCGTCATGATTATTAGCCGAGAGAGGCAGATACAATATGTGGGTGGGGTGTGACCACGAGCAAAAAAAAGGGTACTTCANTTTCTTTTATTTTTAATTTAATTTAATTTAAGTTAACTTGATATTAATAGTTTCTTCAAAAATTTATGTAAAAAATTAGTGACGTTTCATACCTTGATGAGATACTTCATCACACATGAAATTTAAGACAAATGACATCTAAATAAATACAATAAAAATAAACAAACAATGTATTTTTCTTTTCTTTTAGTATTAGCCATTCTTTTGATAGTGTTATGGAAAAACAAGACGGTGATAGTAATAGGTAGATATGGATTGAATCCTTTTTCGTATCACTATCAAAAGAATGAATAATACTACAAAAAAAAATTCATTGTTTGTTCGTTCTTATTTTATTTATTTAGATGTCATTTGTCTTAAAGTTCATGTCTGATGAAGTATCTCATCGAGATACGAAACGTCACTAACTTTTTAAATAAATTTTTGAAGAAATTCTTAATATTAAGTTAAAATCAATTAAATTAAATTATAAATGAAAGAAAAAAAATAAGAGAACTAATTCATGTCAAATATCAATTCAACCTCCTTATGAAAACAGGAATATCTTTCCTTGGAATGATTTTCATAAAAGGAAGAACGATCATCTGGGCCAGTTGTTTTGTAGTAATTCTATAAAGCAGTTGATAGAAAAGCATAAAGCAGTCCTCTTAAAATAAATGTCATTTATTGCAATATAGTAGTTGTACACAAAGAAAAGAGCATTTAGAATCCTTCTCCATTCTTTCTTCTCTTTACCTTTTTCTTTTTTTTCGCTTTGAAACGCTCACGATTGCCTTTCTTCGCGTCGCTTCTCCTTTTCTCCTCTCTCTTTCGTTTTCTTGCCTCTTCACAAGTTTTTGATTTTGTTTTATCCTTTATTCTTACGATCACTGTATTTATTTTTTTATCCTCACACGAGTAGAGACAATGCTCTGTATGATGACATTGGTGATAACTATAAACACTCATCGTATTTAGGTTAATGCTTAATGCTTAAATATTATGATTTCTCCTTATATTATCATGTAAGCATTGATGAATGTTACATTTACGAGGATAGCAACAAAAAAGTTCTTAATCATTACCTATCTATTCTTTTAATAGTCATGTTTTAGTGGTGTATTTAACATTATGGTCTCATGACTTCCTCGTTATTTTATTTTTCTTTGTTCTCTGTGTGCCTTTCTCATTTTGTTTTCTTTTTACATCTTACCCCGTTTGTAAGCGCTTCAGAGCATCGCAAATAAAACGCGCATAGTGAAACGATAGATGATAGATTTGTCATGCTCTATGAGTTGGCGTTTATATATGAATACACAAAAACCAATATTATTTCTCTACGTATATATAGACAGCATAGTTTTTTCTCTGTCTCATCGAACAAAGGCAATATATTACACTATTATCCTGGCTGTCCACATACAAAAGTTCCTACAAATACAATTAAAAAATGTATGCTTTTCGAAAGTATAGTCTTTTCACAAGGTTTTTGTTGCTATGAGTATCGATCGAATTTTTCGATCCCCCATTAGAACCACTAACCTTGTTTAGTTTTATTTTCGTATTATTGTCATTGTTATCCATGTGGTCAAAACTTCCCGAAATTCCTTGAGAAAATGAACAGCATCGATTAGCTACTACACAGTCACCCTCCTCGCAAAGCGTCTGAAACTTAGATTGTCAATCCGGTTTGTGAATGCCACCATAGAAATCTAGCCGTTCGGTATTGTGTTCTTTTATCATGTTGAACACATTTGTCTTACTGGACATAAAATATGATGCCGTGTGGAAAACCGCAGATTCTCAAAAGAGATGCTTTTTAAGTTCCCCACATTCAGCTATATAAATCATCAAAGCTACTGTTAATGTGGCGCTTTTACAACATTATTGTAGCTATTTCATTCAAGTAGATATTTAACCATAATCTAGAAAACATACTCATGAAAAATGGTGCGAGCTTGTTGTAATAGCTATTAATATAAAGTGGGCAGCAAAAACATGAGACGCTTAGTATTTTGTTGATGATATAGCTATCGAAAAACAAAGACAATTTTGAAAATTATATTATTGGATGAAGAACTGAACGAACTACATGGTAATATGAAAGTGTTTGGAAAACTATTACTGTCTTAATTCAATATTAATAATTAATAAAAGTTATTAATTATTAATATTAAATTATGATAACTAATAACTTTTCCGCAATGTTTATGCTACAATATAGTTCGTTCAATTCTGCATCGAATATTACATTTTTGAAAAATGTTTCTGCTTTTCGCTTATATCATCAACAAAATACTAAAAGTGTCTGAGACTTTTGCCGCTCACTTTACTTTATATAAAAGCATTGAGCCTCTTTTGAAAGTAAGCTGATAGCGAACAAACACAATCACTCAGCATTGCAAGTCTTGTGGCATTGGATGATGTTGTGATTGGACTAGACAGCAATATGGGAACGTGCTCGAAGAAGCAGAAGTCGTTCGTATGCAGTTGAGATATTATCCTACAAGGGTCGTAATGCAAGGATTTTGTGTGAGCTTTCTGTCGTAGCTCATCATTACGTGAAACTATCCATTTTATTTCTAAACCATTCAACCGCGATGTCATCACAGTGAGTAAGCATTTGAGAACTTGGAAGACAAAGTTCGCATTTGTACATCTAGAAAAAAACGTTTTCTTCCTAACATTCCTCTGCAGTCAGGATTGCCTAGAAAAATTTTCAAGTTACAGTGAAGGCATGGGATAATGGAGTCATTTCGTGCTTGTGTTGTTCAGAACGCTATGATAAGCCAAAAATAGACATTCACATATTCCGGAAGGGCGATTTTCTTGAAATGCCTCTAATGCTAACATTTTGATTAGTATTTTTTAGTTACAGCAGCGATCATAAGTACACAGCAATTCATATTTCCTATTGTTCGATAATGCTGTCATAGTGCTAGAAAATAGTGATACCGTACAATAAATGACCGTGCAGCTTTTTGCTTGATATCTGTTTCGATTTTAGTGTCGAACAAAATCTTTTTTTTTAAAATTGCATTGAATACTCTTGAAAACTCTAGATGAATAATGGTTATAAATTAAAAAACAGTGATGCTGATCGAGGTATGCTCCGACTGGGCTCATTTATATTCCTATGATCTGATTTGAAATCACAGTAGGAAATTAAATTAAGATTTCTATTGCACTTTGAAAGTTGTAGCCTGTGAATATGTCCAAAGACTCTTCCATCAAGAGCCTATAGAGTTAAATAACTGTTAGTTTTCTTGAATTTTTCAAAATATTCATGTTCTTCAACATTTGCGCAATTTTCGACACATTTTTAAAAACTTCTTCTTCACTCAAAATGAATCACCGTTGAAACTAACTTAACTCTTTGCCACAAAAAAAGAACAGTGTGTGACTAATGTAAGTGACTTGTGTCAAGATTTATTCAATTTGTAGAATTATAGAAAGCAATCGAAATCTTCTGAGAAAACTATTCAGAAACGTCAACATATTGTAACTATAAAATATCTTTATTTTAATTTACCCACTTTCTCTTTCACATTAACTGTTTTGATGTATTCGTGAAGAGAATGAAAAGAAGAAATTCTTTAAAAAGATTCTTTCAATCTTAGTCAGCAAGAAA